TGCTTGTAAACAAAAACATTTTATTCTAGCTTCATGCATTCTTTTTTTTTATAAACACTTGAATGTGGGTGTTTCATAAAAAAACAACATTTTGAACAAAAATCTGAAAAAAAGACTATGAATTTGATTCAGAATGATAATCAAAACATAGATGGAGTCGATCAGCACCCAAAAGCTTGACAGTCATTACCTCTTCATGGATCGACATTTTATTCCATAACGTTACACAGTTTTGATGCTGTTTTATGTTTGATGATCGTGTTAGAATACATGTGGAAGCATCTGTTGTTTCGGTTTCTTCTTTGCTTGTGTTTTGGAAATTCTGTACAGAAGGTGTGTAATCACGCCCCCTACCGTATAATAATTAAAACATGGATTCCCGAAGCACAAGTATAGCTCAAATATATTTAGACTTTTTCTAAGTAGAAGTCAAGTATACTTAAATGTCATTTTAAGTATTATTTCTGAGAAGTACATAAAAAGTAGACTGAAAGTATACTTTCCTACTTTTTAGTTTAAAAGATGTATACTAATAGCACACTTGAATAAACTTATTTTTCGTAAGGGTCCTCTCAGCTAGTACATCTTTTCAAAGTGAAAGTAGTCTTGTCACCTGACCTGAATACAGCGCGCTGATTCACTAAAATGGACTTATCGGTTTCTGTTCAAAAACAACAAGGGCGCTTGTCGGCTTCTGCAGTAAAACGTGAACTCGCGATGCCTTGAAAGTGGACACAATCGGATTTTTTGACAAAGCGTGTTTAGGGTTCAGATCGCGCTATATGTGGAGAATAATGCATGGCAATCAGCTCACTTTTTTTAAAAGTGGCATTTATCGGTTTTTGCAAATGAACTCTTCATATATATATATATATATATATATATATACACATATATATATATAAAATATAGTTAAAATCAGTGCAACATGGACCTTCAAAAATCATTGCGATATGCTGATTTTTGGTGCTCAAGAAACATTTCTCATTATAATCAATGTTGAAAACCTGTGTGCTGTTTCATAGCTTTGTGGAAACCATGATACATTTTTTTTTCAGGATCTCTTGATGAATATAATTAGTAGATATTTTGTTTGTATATTATAAATGTATTTACACTTTAGATCAATTTAACACATAAATATGTATAAATGTATAAAAACATTTATACTTTTATTCAGCAAGGATGTATTAAACTGATCAAAAGTGTCAAATAATAAAAGTATTAAAAAAAAGTTTTGATTTTAGCTAGATGTTAGCAAATTTACATAAAAGCCTGTTGAAAATCACACTTGTACCACTAATAAAAATAAATAGAAAAGGAAAAAAAAAAAAAGTGTGCATTAGCCAGTTGCTACTTACTATTACTAGTTGGAAGCAGGTAGTATTTATAATTTAAGCAGAAGAGGCCTGTTTAAATCTAATTTTAAAAACTAATTTCATTAATATTTCTATCGATTTCACAAAGGTGTATGTGTACATAAGTATAAATATTATAATTTACTCCGATGGAAAGTGGATATGAATCACTCACCTGCACGCTGGCCAGCCACTGTCTCACTGCTGTGAAAGTCTGCTCATTAGTGATGTCATACACCACTACCACACCATCAGCCTTGCGAAAAAACTGCTTGGTGATGCTGCGATACCTGCAATGCCCAGAATGAAACCATCTTTAACATTCACTTACTTTTGCAGTTAGAAAACGCTCAAAGCAATAAAACAACACTCAGTTCTCTGATAGCATACTGATTTTGATTCATTAAGATTGTTAATAGAAATCTAATAGAAACATTAATTAAACATCACTCACCTTTCCTGTCCTGCTGTGTCCCACATTTGCAAGGCTACCTGGCTGTTGTCCACCGTCAGAGTCTTCACACTGTAGTCAATACCTGCACACGTCAAGACATGAAAGTCAGTCTGAAGGAGGAAAAAAAGTGTCTGCCATTTAATGTTTTCATGCTTTTGTTTCCATCCCAGAAGAAGCTCCACACATACAAGCCCTGACAAAAGGCCAGACAGAATTGATTTGTGGTTTTAGTCAATACCAAGTTAGTGATAAATGTTTAAAACCAGCTAAGTATAGGAACCATGCAAATGGACACATTATGTTACTTTAAATTTTCGATTGTATGCCCAGATTCTTTGCTAACAAAATGGGACAAAAAGTACTGTGGTATTACAGGGTATACTTTTAGGTACCATGTACAAACTGTGGTGCATGAATATAGTAATGTTCAGTATCATAGTAGTGAAATAATCTTGACTGAGTTAAAGAATAAAATCTGAAGTCAGCAAAACCTCAACGTTGTGTGAGACTAAATATCGTTTAACAGTGTTACTATCATCAGCATGTGGAGAAATAACAGACCCAACAACACAGCATCAAATTATGATCAACCTGTGGACTCACACCCAAAGACATCGCTTTTCGGGTGAACAAATGCCAAAATACCCCTAGACACTAGCACATATGTAAAGGAAGGCTACTTACCTACAGTAGCACATGTACCAGAGTGGAAAAAGTTGTCACAGAAGCGACGTAGAAGAGATGTTTTTCCCACACTAGAATTCCCCACCAGAACAATCTTAAACAGACGATCTGGACCTGAACTGGCCCCTTCCTCCTGGAAAAAGACAAAAAGACACCATGATTAAGGAAAGAGGGAAAGAAGCATTAGTCAGCAGGATACATGTGTTCCAAATGCTTATATTTTATACTAAAGTTCCAAATGATTAATTTTAGCTTCCCCAAAAGCCTTTCGGTGAAAAGCTCTTAAAAGAACGATTTTTGATCTTAGTGTGCAGAACATTTTAATAATGTAAAGAACTTGATTCCACTATAAAGAACCTTTTGCGCAATGGAAATGTTCCATGGATGTTAGAGGTTCCTCAGTGATGCCAATCAAGAACCATTATTTTGAGAGTGTTCTCATTTTGAAACCTCAACAAATGTCTGAGGTTCAGACCAAATCGAGCTGTTTTCTCACCGACTGGACTGTCTCTTTGCCCACAGGCTGTCCCCTGGGTGAGGTGGGTGTGGGTGCGACTCCTGGAGGAGGTGAAACAGAGGTCGGAGTGCTAGTTGTGGGGTAAATATTGTTCATCTGGAGGTCCATGCCCTCCTCCAACTCCTCATCTTCACTCCATTCTCTGAGCTGGGCCTGATAACCCTGTTGAAGGAGTTGAGGAAGATGGTCCTCCTCGATGGAGATGATCCTCTGGAGCTGGTGTTTTGAAGGAGGTCGTCCATCTAACATGTCCTCCAGGTCCATACTGTGCCCATTTTCACCAATCATGTTCTTCCGCTTAGACTGCGGCAGAACCTCTTCATCCTCATCGCTGGAGAAGACAACAGCCACATGTATGCTTATTTATACACCAAAATGACATCAGAAATATGGAGTACTACCTTTTTTGATTACTCAAAAACCATAAATAACAAGAAAACATCTTATTGATGTCTTCACAAATTTGCTTTGATTAAACTCACGTATAAAATGACTAGCTCTTTTATCTTAGGAGAGTCAGACCTTTTAGATTTTGCAGATTCATTGCATCTTTTCATCTTGAGTACCGCTGAGTGCACAGATGGCATTTTCACACAACCTTACCTTATAAATGACTGCTTCCGCTCAGAGTGCTTCATAGTAATTGATTCAGACCTCGGTTTCCATGAGAGTTTTGCAGCAGAAGTATTTGGTTTCTGAAAGACAGAAAACAATTACTTGAAATTTACTGAAATTGTTAAAATGCAGGATCAGTATTCAGTACAATGTCTAATACAACGTCCATAAGAACCTACTTGATAGCATATGTCTCTTTCATCTCGTAAGTGTTTGTTTATTTCTCTAGGAGGAAAGAAACAGAACACATGTGAAATCTGGGATAACACAAAGACATGCCCCTTTATTTTTTACTGTAGTTATGTCTTACCTTAGCAAATCAAGCTGCTTGAGAAGACTTGCCCTCTCTCTCTGCAGGCTTTCTGTAATTCTATAAATCTCCCTGGAGAAAACACAAACTCTTTTAATTATAATGTGTTTGGCAGCAGGACTAACAACACATCAAACAAGGGACACAATGTACTATTTAACTGAATGGCCATTATGAAATACCAGCTTTCCAAAAAAAATAAAAAAATAAATAAAAATACATCAAATTTAATTAAATGTAATGCAAAATAAACTGTCATATATTACTAATGATGATTTCAAAAATATTGTATTAAATAAAGTAATGAGAATAAGGAAGAAAATACAAAAATAATGAAAAATAAAAAATGACGAAAAAAATAATAAAATTAATTGTTGGTAATGAGGACTAAAAATTATCATGAAAGTAATACATAATATAAGATAGACTTGATTATCTTTATGCAAAATATATATATATGTGTGTGTGTGTGTGTGAGAAATGTGGCCCTGATATGCTTCGAACAGTGTAAAATTCATGTTTTAATAAAAAAAAAAAAAAAACATGAAATTTTATTATATTGTATTGCATTACATTACATTACAACAACACATCAAACAAGGGACACAATGTACTATTTAACTGAATGGCCATTATGAAATACCAGCTTTCCAAAAAAAAATAAATAAATAAATAAAAATACATCAAATTTAATTAAATGTAATGCAAAATAAACTGTCATATATTACTAATGATGATTTCAAAAATATTGTATTAAATAAAGTAATGAGAATAAGGAAGAAAATACAAAAATAATGAAAAATAAATAATGACGAAAAAAATAATAAAATTAATTGTTTGTAATGAGGACTAAAAATTATCATGAAAGTAATACATAATATAAGATAGACTTGATTATCTTTATGCAAAATATATATATATATGTGTGTGTGTGTGTGAGAAATGTGGCCCTGATATGCTTCGAACAGTGTAAAATTCATGTTTTAATAAAAAATAAAAAAAACATGAAATTATATTATATTGTATTGCATTACATTACATTACATTATATATTATATTATATTATATACCCGTAAGATCGGGTGTGGCCATTTAGAAATTTAATGCGTCAAGTTTCTGGTGTCATCTGCTTCCAGATATGTTTAGCTGAACAAAAAAAACTTGTTTTGCTGCTTGATATTGCAAAATAGTGTTTCTTGCACATTCACAGGAAAAAAAGCTTATCTCTGGGTTGAAAAATAAGGTGGATATTATATTATAGTATATTTATTACAATACATTAAATTAATTATATGTTTTTCACTTTTTGAGATTGAATACATTTATTCTACACTATGTCCAAAACGTGCATATATTACATCGTATATATTGGCATATACATAGGCAGGATGTACATAAATATATTTCAGCCAATAGATTTCGAAATATCATAAAAGTACTAAATGTCATTTTCACATCTCTTGCTCCTCGTGCAAAATATATTTTTCTTCTGATTTTGGTATGAAATGTGAATCTGAAATGCTCTGAATGAAGTGTAAAATTAATGTTTTAATAAAAAAAATTATATGATATATTTAATTTGATATATATATATAAATAAATTAATACACTATGTCCAAAACATGCAAATATAGTATATATGCATGTACATATAGCACTAAATGTCAGATCTTCCTCACATCTCTCTCTCCTCGTGCAGGCGTGAGGCCTGTTCCTGCAGCAGCATGAGTTGCTCCTGGGCCAGACTCAGCTCCTGGGTGGTGTGCTCCAGCTCACGGCTCAAGTCCTCATTATACTGCTTTAGTTTAACATTCTCCACGGCCGTCTCCCGCTGCTCGCTGTGCAGCTCTCGACACTGATGCTCCAGCTGACCGACATCAAACAAACACACACATACAAATGAAACAATCAACATATAAGCTATCATAAAAATAACTGAAGAACAATAAGCTCTTTGAAACAAATCGCGCTGGATAACATGACCATCAGGTTTTACACAAATGTGTGGCCTCCATGCCAGCCATGCATATTTACACCACTATCCTTGGAAAGATGGCCTTGGAAGTGTTATTGTGAATGTTTGGCTGGGACATTGTGAGAGAAAGAATTGATAAGAAAGCTCTTACACTCATGCTATGCTGCTAAATATAGACAAAATAGGACACAATACCACATCTATAACCAAACATACACCACCACACTTCAGCTCCTCACAGCAGAAAAGCAGTTCTGCTTGCTTTTGCACAAAGTTGCACTGCAGCAAAGAGCACAATAAAGGAACTAATTTGCTTTAGCTGATCACAAATGTGAAGAGAAGAAAATGAAGCTTGTAATTACAGAGGCAAAGGAGGCATTAAGACGTTGCTACTTTCTGTTCATTCATTAGCACGGAAAGGCTTTGCTGGGCTTTGTCTATTGTGTGTAAAGATCAGCATCTATTTTTGTGTGCGTCAGCACTGTCAGATGTGGTTTTCTGAAACTTGAACACAAATTTCCAGCAAATGATCAACATCTGGCGATTATGTTAAACAATCAGAGTAATACAAGAGAAACTTCAGAGCATTAAGACTCATATTTGAGTCAAAGTCCTGAAAATATAGATGTTAGTTTGTTCTTGAGCTCAAGTTACAGCCTTTTCTTGATCTGTCACTAGGATTAAAACCCTTACAGGAAATGATCTCACTCTGTATAATTCTTATCCAAGCATCTTTAAATTAAATATTTAAAAATAGTTAATAGGTGTGCAATGTCTTCATAATTATTACTAGTTAAACTGGTTTAGTGACAAGCAAAGGAACTTGTTGTGACCCACCCGTTTCTGTTTGTTAGAAATAATTTCCAGCTCCTTCTCTTTAGTGGAAAGCTGATGCTCCAAGTCCTGACTGCGAGACAAGAACCGCTCAGAATCCTGGAGAATACACAGATCACATGACCCATACAATTTACCATGGTACATAGCAACAGTTTGAGTTTCTACTGTAAAATCATAAATGATAAATCCCATATGAGATTGCTAGTCTAAGAACCTTTCAGAATAATTTTTTGTTATTATAGTTCGTTTTGATAATGACAGTGGGTGTTCTGGGTGATTCTTTCTTGGCTCAACAAAAAAGATCCCTTTCCTAAATTTCAATGATATTCTGGTCTCTACATATGACTTTCAATGAAAGTCTATGAGACCCCCCCCCACCCCTTTTATAGTCCATCATTAGGTTTCATTGAAGTACACAATTTGAGGTCCATGGTAAAACTCAAGGTTTAACACTCGACTGTAATAATTTTCACCTCTAAAAGTATCCTGTCTTTCTCATTCTTGATCTGTTGCTCCATTTCTTCATACAGCCTCTGGATTTCATCATCATGTGTCGCCGCTTTTCTATGAAAGACATCATTTAAAAAGCTTTTAAGTCACTTAGTCATATGAAAGAATGAAACACTATTCATTGGGTCCATGGAACAGACGTCATTCAAAAAGCATTTATTCTTTGCCACAAGCGATTTATCTTTTGTTACCTTATTCCCATTGCTTTTTTTTTTTTTTTTTTGCTTGGAGACAATATTAATGTTAGATACAAATCAGGTGACAAAGGCACAGTAGATATGACCATCAAGCCTCAATACATACATAAAGAGAATAAGTGGCATTTAATAAATTAAAGGGATCAATACATTAGAAAATCGAGTGATGCTCATAATAATGTGAGCATGCATTACACATTATTTACAGTTTTCATTAGAATTTTTGTATTTTTTTTTTTTTTGCTTGTAATATATCCTTTAATTATCAACAGAATGCTGCAAACCTACCTTTCGGCACCAAAATCTAACCTTTGCACATGCTCAGAAAATCCACTTTTGGAGCACAGAATCCAAGTCTGTTACCACTTATACAGTCAGGCTCAACTGTGATAAATCCATGCAAAAGCCAACTTACCTATTCCTTGCATCACATCTGTCCACTAAGTCTTATTACGAGTCACGATACAATACTATGTGACTGTCAAGTCAACCAAAATGGGATTCATATAGTGGGCTGACACTCAAAAATGTATGAACGCCACTGAATAGATAACAAAATATCAAACCAAGTCTCATTTATTTTAAAGGTAGCACAAACACATTTTTCAGCATTTTGATTTTAACATCTTAATTGACATCTGACCTTTTAAGGGCCGTCTCCATCTCTTTCTTGTCCTGGTTGGCCTCTTTGATCTGATAAGTGACCCTGGCAAGAAACTCCTCAAAATTGGACAGGAGGTGAGGCTCGTCTTTTCTAAGCTGCACCCAAAGACTCCGCACCTCTCCTGGTCTGAGACATCAAAACACACGTACTGCATCATTTATCTCACCAAATTATTGTTTGGAGAAAAAAAAACAAAAAAAAAACGTTCCACAAAAGTGTGCTCCACTGTTAAAAATAACTATAAATGTACAAAGGCCACAGTCTGCTAAATTCTAAACTCTAATTTTTACAAAAATATTAATGCATTAATTCAGAATCATGAAGGCTCTCAGTAAAGACATTCACAGTCGTTTCTGTTGCAGAGAAAAGCTCATACTAGCAATAGGTCTCCTGAAAGGAAATTAAAATTACACATCATGATTTTGTGGAAATACAGTAAAAGAAAAAAAAACAGCAACAATGCTGCTTTTATCACACAGCAAAATGAAGCTGACTGTATAAGAGATGCAATCAGAATCTAATCTAAACTGTCAGCTCCCCTTTGAAAAAGCAATAACCGTACACAAATGATTACAGTCAGTCAGAAGGATGAACTTTTATAACTGATGCCTTCCACCATCACCGTTTGCCTTTTAGGAGTGGCGGTAGTTTACTGAAAGTGGCTCCGGTCATGTGTTACAAAAATGGGCTTAACGCACCATATGGTCAATGAGAAGACAAGAATCTACCTTTATTAAAGTCCCTTGGTCTTATCAAAGGTGTCGTGTCTTCCTTTGGGAATGTGCGGTCTCTTTATTTAATTAATTAATTAATAAATTTATTTAATACCATATCAGCAGCAAAGCTATTTTATTGGAAAACTTAAAGTAGATCGTAAGTTAATCATAATAACAAAACAATAAATAATAAAAACAATTATATACTGTGTGCATATATATATATATAAATAAAATGTAATAATGTTTTTCTTATTGATTTAAAAAAAAAAATCTAGCAACTAAATAAGCTTTTACAGTTTGACATTTGATAGAAAATCTACATTTTTCTCAGGAGAAGAAGAAAAAAGTCTGCTGTCTCTTACTATTGATTGGTTTTGGTGAAATTTCTATTGTATATATAGCTGATTAAATTCTTATGTCTTTTCCATTTTGCTGTGAAGTCGCATTTAAATGAAATCTAAATTATATTTTTTAGAATTGTGTTTTATAGCATTAAAACAACATCTTAGTGTATGTAATAGACAAAAGTAATGTATAAATCATATAGTAACTGAAATATATAACCTAAAAATTCATAATTAATATTCATTTTTAGGTTGTAATCAATTTCAGTTATCTGATTTATACATTAGTGGAAATATTCTTGCATGGAACTGCACTACAATCACACTATCCGTTTCAAACAGCATGGTTGACTGAAATGACTCTCACTCTTCAAAGATGTTGCTTGCCCCCAGGTTCTCCATTAGCATGCAGAAGTGTTTCTCCTCATCATCCTCTCCCCTGCTGAGTCTCTCCTCCCATTGGCTCTCATAGAGCACTTCCGGAGTCTTTCCTGAGACCGGCTGCTCGTCTGCATGTGGATCTACTGACACCACACCTGGACCAAACATAAATTCACCTGAATGGGAGACATAAATACATTAGCAAACTTTTAAATGATACAGACGACACAAAATACAACATACAATATCAATCATATGTTTCAATAATCAATTTCATTTTGAATTATTTTTCTAAATGCTGTATAGATTCAAATGCAAACGCACTAAAGCCGGAGGAGAACTCCTCAAAGGTCAGATATCCGTTGGCATCTGTGTCCAGAGTATCAAAGACGTTCTCAAGTTCCTCAGCACTCTGAGGAAGCTCTCCATTTAACCTCTACAACACATGACAAATTATACAGACATGTTATGAAAAGCATATTGCATCACCTGAAAATAAGCAAATTTTATTTATATATATATACACACATACATACTGTATATGTATATTACAGACAAACAAACAAACACACACACACACACACACACATATACATATATATAAATACACACACACACATATATATATATAATATATAATTATCTTTACAGTTAGTCCACAAGTCATACATGCTGTACATAAATAAAACAAATATATTTAATTGGTCTCACAAGGTAAATCAAAACTCACAAAACGTTTTTATGAGGCAACTGAATGTCACTACAAAACCAAACTCAACCAGAAATTCTCCCATCTTTTGCCAGGTTGTGTCATGAGTAAGGTTTCAAGCTAGGTTGACGTTTGACACCTTTAAAAATCACCCAGGCTGTAGATTTCAGTGATCAACCCAGTTAACACACAGTAAGAACGTTACTATTCTTAGAGAGCAAATAACACACCCTGTGTGGGAACCTGACACATGTTTGCTCAGATATACTCTGGGATCAGATGTCCCATAAAACACTACATACTGTATAATTCTATGTGTGACTTTAGCATGGACTTTTGGCTTTTCTGTACTTGTAAAAGTCCATTGTAAAAGCTAACGGACATGTGAAAACATTTGCGTAAAAAGTGAGCACAAACTGCGAGCCATCATCCAGTTCCTCGGGTAAACCAAAATGACAGCTTCGAACAGTAATAAAACTCCTCCAGTGGCTTTTTTGACAGCTGAAGGTTTAGAAAATGCAGCTCTTTAAAACCCCAATAGCGTTGTCAGCATTTTCTACCAGACCAACATGTGGTGGACCCATGATGCAAGTTACTTTGCCAAAGACGTAAATGTTTTGTCACAGTCTTCATAATAGCATATATACAATCATTTAACAGAAAGATTTAAATATGTATGGATTTATAGGGTATATTTAATCCAAATGGGTTGAAATAACAAAAGGCATCATTTAAGTATAGATGAGGAACCAATGTTTATTAATGCTTTTTCTACAGACACTGGATCAAAGGTGTGATGCTTTTGAAAAAGGCTCTTCAGAGAAAGGCCCGATAGCCAGACTTCAAAGGAAACCTGTGCACTGAATGGAAAATCTAAGAGGTGATCGAATCTGCACAATAATACAACTGAAGGGGTGGTTTCAAAACGCCCACCACAATTTTAGGATGGTCTCACAAGCTCCTCCGATTGTGACACTCCGCAACAAGAGGCTGCACTGAAATATTTCGTATAAATCAACCACATTTATGGATGATTGATGGATCACACACACACTATGACCAATTGGTGGAACTGAAAATAAATACATAAAATTTGGTGGTGGTACCATGGTACAATGATGGTATCTGATGCCATATCATGGTATTTTAATACAAAGTATATGAGGCTATTGAATTATTACTGTAGTAATGTATGTAGGCATTTACATGACTACTTTACAAGTCCACAAAAAAAAGTCATTAAAAAAATTCAATAAAAAATAAATATTTATACACTGAATTTTTTTAAAATAAATTTTGCAGGAAAAAAAAAAAAAAGACATAACATACGGTTCTGTTAGTTCACATAGACCTTGCAGAACCAGCAAAATGTTAATTATTTTACCAAAATAAGAGGGATCGTATATATATATATATATATATAGTTTATTCATTTAAATATGTAATTTAAAAAAAAGAATTACATAGTGATAAAATTCACTCCCAAGGAGAAACTTTTAAATGATCAAATATTTAGAGCTTAAAATAATTAGAAAAATATTTATTCACTATAGTAATTTCATAAATTATTTTTTTATTCATAATTTGTTACTGAAAGTTGCAATTTTAAAAAACCCAGATATTTTCAGGTTTTTCATGACAGTGGGAAGGAACTCTGGGGAAAAAAAAGAATAGAGCTTCAGTACAGAAGCATGTTGTAGTCTACTAACTTTACTTTTTCACAATAAATTGCCAATTAGATATTTAACAAACTATGCATTTAATTCTTTTTTAATTAAGTTAATTACTTTATTCAGATTACTGCTTGTCTTCTGTTGTAAGTAAACAATTTATAAGGGTGAGCAAACACAAATGAGCTCAATTAGCTCATGGTTTGTAGATGAAACAATGCCAGGAAAACCAGATGACTTGAGACATTTTGTGGGGTTTTCATTCATCTTTACCAATAAAACTCCAGGTCTAATGACAAATCACATGGACGTCCTTTTCCCAACATCCTTACCTGCATGTCCCGTCGTGTAATGAAGCCTTTGCCCTCGATGTCACAAATCTGGAAGAACTCTCTGGTCTTCTCAAGCACAGCACTGCAGTCACTGTCACTGGGTGACCCCTGTCTGTTTTCTCCTCTCCGATGGGACGCCCGGTCCACCTTAGAGCCACAGGTGCTGGAGAAAGACGCCATGCCGTCCATGTGTGTGTTTGTGTGTGCGTATGTATGTGTGTGTGAACTCCACTCTCCTCACATGGGTCAGCCCTTGACAGAAGAGAAGAGAGAACAAAGCTTTTGAGTAACACCACATCGCATCCTCTTAGCCATCTCTTAGCAACCACCTCTTTAATTAGACGGCGAGAGCACTGAGAATGGTGCGGGAAAAGAAACCGCTTAAAAAAAATGTGTGGAAGATAGAGAAAACATCAAAAGAATATTCAAAAAGGTTATTCGAGTACAGATGGTCATAAACTGTCCATTTTCTTAATTCAGAGAAAGCATCATCGCATTTACAGCCCATTACGTGTGTCAAACTGCCACCAATCCCTTTATTGACAGTTAATGATATTAAAGAGGGGAAACCAAAGAGAGATCTGCAAGGGATAGGAATATATCCTACTGTTCAAGAGTTTGGAGTCATTCAAATTGTATATACTTATTTTTTAAAGAAATCAAAACGTTTGCTTTTATTCTGCAAAAGTGCATCAAACTGATCAAAAGTGACAGTAAAAAAAAAAAAAAAAGCTTTCTATTCATTAAAGAATTGTAAAAAAAAACAAAAAAAAAACAGCATACTATAACAAACATTATTTTACATATTTATTTATACATTTTTGCACATAAGAAACTTCTTTCAAAAACAAATTATGGTATGTAAAACTGTATGAGTGTTTGCCAGGGTGTTTCTATGTAGTTGCTAAGGTGTTCAGAGTGGCTGTTAACATGTTGCCATGCTGTAGTTTACTGGGCCAAGTCAAATAATCCCACCTCAATCTGATATTCTAGTCCCTAGTATGTCTCGGTCCTTAGACAGCTAGTAGGATAAAGCCAGCTGTGACCATAGATCAGGGGGGTCAATCTCAATTCCTGGAGGGCCGGAGCCCTGCAGAGTTTTGTTCAAACCCTGCTCCAACACACATACCATGTAGTTTTCAAATAAGCCCGAAGGACTTGATTAGTTGGATCAGGTGTGTTTAATTAGGGTTGAATCTAAACTCTGAAGGGCTCTGGCCCTCCAGGAATTGAGTTTAACACCCCTGCCATAGATGTACTCTCAAAAATCATCTTTGAATGACAAATCATTGTAAAAAGAAAGATTTTCATTCAAAGAATCCTCTACAAACCAAAAGGTTCCATGCATCTCTAAGTCTTAGCCACTTTAGTGTGTTCTAATGGTGCGTTCAAGTCCTCCTGGGACGTTCGTACTTACGAGTTGACAAGTCGTAATTACGACTTCAGGTGCGTTCAAGTCAGTTTAGTCGGCACAAGATGGCGGTTTACCTTCTTTTAATAAATTACAAGAAAACACAACAGGGTCTGTTAACTCTGCTTATAGAAAATGAAGAGCAAAGAATTCGCATCAGGTGTGTTTTGCGTTTTTAATATTTTTTAAAAAGTAATTTATGAAGCCACTTTAATCTGCATCGCATAAAAACTTCATCAAAACTATAAATTTAAACAAAAATTTACCGTCAACTACAGACATTGCATCCATCGATTCCGCCATGTTTCTCATTGACATGCCCCCAACTCGGAAACTCGGGGCTTAAAGAAAATTTTGAGTTTCCCACTCGTAATAACGACTTTGTGGTGGTGTTCATGTGCGTTCAACTCGTAAATACGATCTATCCGACATGACTTGAACGCACCATTAGTCACTAACAACTTCAAAAAATGCTAAGCAGCTTGGTAAGGTACTTTGATGTAAGATGAAGCAAGCAGATGAAGCAGTAGAAATAAGAAATACATTTATGGTGATGATCGCAACTTTGGGTTTCTTGGCAGATGTGCTGATTAAAACTTTTGTTTGCCTGTCATAACAGCCTGAATGTGTGCGATATTGCTTTCCTTTGTCTAACAAGAAAAATCTAACTTTTGCTGCACAAAAGTAATTTAAAAGTTTGTAAAGCCCATTAGCCTGCAAAGTATCACACCTCACTGACAACTTTTCTGTGTCAGCTCTTTGATTGCCTACAAATTGAGTTAGCTGGCTGTAATATTGCAGGTAAGTTTTTGGAAGGCAGTCAGCTATATTCTACAATTACAGTATGTTTGTGTTTAAAAATGTGCAAGCAAAAATGTTTTTATGCTTATATTTTTACGGTGGTCAGAGACTCATGATAAGTTATTTAGGTTCCATATTGAATTGATTGAATATATTTTTTTGTATTTTTTCTGTCCTTTATTTTGAAATGCATAATATTACATTTTGGCAAAATGTGAATTTTACAAAAAAAAAAAAAAAAAAGCACTAAAGTAAAGCTATATTAAATACTATTTCTGTGCCTGTACAATGTACTTCTGTACTTGTAATGTATTTCTTTAGTATACTATACATATCTATTCTAGGGCTGTCAATTGATTATTATTTAATCGCATGATCGTCATGAGTTAACTTGTGATTAATCGCAATTTAAATTGCACAATATTATCCGTTCTAAATGTACCTTAAATTAATACTTTTCAAGTTTTTAATATTCTAATCAACATGGGTATGGACAAATATGGATGCTTTATGCAAATGTATGTTTATTATTAGTGAAACCATACTCAACATAGAGCATGAACACTAGACATGTTTCAAAGGTCATAGATGTTTTTCAAAAAACTTGTTCATGTGTATTAGACACATGAAAATATAACATACAATTATCAGGTTCCCATTACTGCACTGAGCAATTTACTTACACAAGCCTGTTTACATTTTCACAGGACAGGGCAGCTCACTTCTTCTGAACATGCAAAATGTACATTTATTATTAATCTCTGTGCCCGGCCCCACATACTGTATTTTGATGCAGCTAAATTCTCAACAAAACTGTTTTCTTTGATAGATTTTACTGTTTCTGTTGTCAGACAACAGAGTTAATATGAAATAGTTACCGAAACGCAACCCATTAGGAATACATAACCAGCTCTCCCTTCCAAGAAGTTTATCTGAACAAGAATCCTGATTTATAATCGAGCTGTCGTCTGATGAGATCAAAAACACATAAGATAAAGACAATAGCTGTGCTGTGATTTCGGCTATATACTTGCATGTAAAATTAGAGAAGCATCATAATATCTGTTAACTGAAAGCACATTGCTCCTCTCAGCCGCTTGCTGAACAGAGCAGATGCAGATAGAGGTGTGCGCGCTGGGAAAGAGAGACCTCGTGCTCGAGCGGCTGTACCGGCGAGTCTCAGAAATTAAATAGGGCTAAGGTTTAGGCAAACCTTAAAAATGTGTCGCTAGGCGGGGGGGGGGTTTTTTTTTTTTTGGGAAGAAAAAAAAATCGCTTAAGGGGTCTGCAAAGTCAAGTCGGGTCAAACAGAAAATGCGCGCTCCGTTAATCGCGCGTTAATAAAATTAGTGCCGTTAAAATGAATTTGCGTTAAATTTGACAGCCCTAATCTATTCACTAAAAAGGCTTCATGATGGGTTCCTAGTAAAAACATGTCATGCCTCTCCCAAACTTTTCAATGGCTGAATCAACCCCTACAAAAGTTATGGCACTTGCATACAACATCTGAATTTCCTCAGTGTTTTTTTGAAAAAAAAAAAAAAAACCTTCGGAGAAAAAAAATAATAAAAAGCATTAAAGGGGTCTTAAACTTTTTTTATTTTTTTTTTTATTTTGTACTGTTCTCTGAGGTCTTTCAATCTTTCTGCAAATCCTGCGTCGAATTGTGCCTTGTTTGTAAAAGAATCCGTGGTAAAATAAAGTGAACAAAGGACCAAGTTCTTACTGACATGGTCTGGATGTTTATCTGGTCTTTCCTAATGTTGGGATCAGAAGGTAGGTTATGCAAAGGACTGTGTTTTTCCACAACTTGGCACCTCACAGCGTCTAGTTGTCTTTGGAGCCATCTTTATTGCTTGGTTTCTACATAGACCTGCATTTGCCTCTCATTATTTACAATATATGCACAAATCAGTGGGCGGGGCTAAACAGGCAGTGACGTAGAAGCAGGTGTTGATCTTATTCTGTGGAGGCGGGGTTTAGCCACTATTACGTCATAAAGTGGCACATTCCACAACCTATCATTTTAGCAGACTGACTTAAATAATAAGCTGTTTTTAGACTAACGAGAAAGTTTTGAGTTCTGAAACTAAATTTTTGTAGTACAGTGACCTCTTATGTCAAAAGATCAAGGGAATTTCTTTTTGGATTTCTCAGTTAATGACCCCTTTAAGTCCTCGGCTGTCGAGGATAGCAGAAACTAGTGGACTGGAATACTGGAGTGCACGTCTCTCTTATTTAGTGGAATACAGATGTTATTTGTGCAGTGACCACAAGTTAAAAGTCGATGGGATTGATGGGAGCTGACAAGCCATGCCTCATATATGGGAGTAGTGATGCGCATCTCCTTTGGGTATTGACCGGGAAAGCCACAAGTTTGCCGTTTCAAACTTCTGAGTGCAGCGGCACAGAATGACGCTTTCAGTGGCCTTAGTAAACCCAACCATCAATCACAAACTCTAAACTAGCTCACTAAAGAGAGACCAAGATCATGTCACAGGTAAGATTATGGGTTTGTCTAGATCAGGGGTATTTGCTACTTCATTTAACTAATTCAGGAAAAAAGTTAAACAAAAAACAATATTACGTGAACTTCAACCAACCAATTTGCTGAGAAGCAAAGTTCAGATAAATGTTGTACCTCATTGCCCCTCCCACATTATAAATTAAAGTTACAAATGTCTATACACTACAATGCAAAAGTTTGAGGGCAGTAAGTTTTTTTTTTTTTGCAAGTTTCTGAAACAAGCCTCTTATGCTCACCAAGATCAAAATATTATATTTGATCAAATAATACAGTAATGACAGTAATATTCTGAAATATTATTACAACTTAAAATAACTGTTTTCTATTTGAATATATTTTCAAATGCAATTTACTCCTGTGATGCACAGCTGAATTTTCAGCAGTCCAGTATTCAGTGTCTCATGATCCTTCAGAAATCATCTAATATACTAAATTTGGTGCTCAAGAAACATTTCTTATTATCAATGTTGTCCTGCTTAATATTTTTGTGAAAACTGTGATTCATGTTTGTCA